CGCAGGTCTCGAACCCGCGGGCTCAGGCAATCCACTCACCTCAGCCTCCCAAAGGTGCAGGATTACAGGCTGAGCCACCGAGCCCGGCTCTTTTTAAGAGATGAGTCTTGCTGTGTTGTCCAGGCTGGTCTCAACCTCTGGGAATCAAGCGAGCTTCCCATCTGGGCCTCCCAAAGGGCTAGGATTGCAAGTGTGAGCCACCATGCCCAGCCATCTTTTACTCTTTTGAGAAGGGGTCTTGCTACATTGCCCAGGCTGGTCTTGACCTCCTGGGCTCAAGCGATCCACCTCGACCTCCCGAGCAGCTGGGACTCGGAACTGGAGTGACTTTTTTCCCTCAGCACAATGGCCCCCAGGTCCATCTGTGTATGGTGGGTCCCTTCTTTGTGGCCAAGTCACATTCCATTGTGTGGACAGACCACGTTGTCCTATCTGTCCCCTGACTCCGTATCTTGGCTGTTGTGAATGGCGCACAGTGACCTCAGGGTGCAGGCATGTCTTCAAGGGTCCGGTTTCCGCTCCTTTGGGTGCAGACCCGGCAGCAGGGTTGCTGGTTCGGGCGGCAGTTCCGGTTCTGAGGCGACTCCGCGTGGCCTTCCGTGGTGGCTGTGTGGGCGCACGTCCCCGCAGCCAGGCCTGGGCCCCTCCCTGCGTCCTCACCAGCGCCGCCCACCCTTGACTCGTTGGTGACACCTGACGGGAACGAGGCGCTGTCTCGTGTGGGTTGGCGGTTCGTGACGCGGCATCTTTTCCTGGCCCACTGGAGAGATGTCTGTGCGGGCCCTCGGTCCTTTGGGCCTGACGACTGGGCTCTCGCTTTGCCCGCCCCTGTCGTGTGGGCGAGGTCCTCCTCAGCATGGCGCGGCCTGGGCAGGGCCTCCAAGGCCCCTGCCCCCCACTGCTCTCGCCAGGGACGATCCCAGGCTCGGGGCCCACAACGGCTTCTCCCCCAACCCCCTCAGTGTCACCTGCCATGTGTGGTCCATGCAGGGCAAGCATGGGGGTTGTCCTCGCCGTCCCTCGTGCGGGTGAGGAGCCTGGGCAGTGGCCGGTGGCGAGGCCCGCGGGGTCCCACTCCCCCACCCCGCCCCCTGCCCTTCCACGCGGCCTCCGCTGCAAAGAGAGGGGGTGCGTTGCAGGCCCTGGGGGCCCTGTTCCTGAGGGCACGTCCCCTTCCCAGCCCCGCACTCAGCCTTGTGGGCGCCCTTCTGGGGCCCCAAGGCAGGGCCGCCGTCCCCTCCTGCAGCCCAGGCCGGCACCGCGAGGCCCTGCCTGCCAGTCGGTCGACAGCTCAGTAGCGAGGCCTCCGCGGCGACCTGCACCGGCCTCTGCTTATCTGGGCCCAGTTTAGGGGCGATAAGGGCTGCTGCCTGAGGCTCAGCGCGGGGCCTGGCTGCCTGGGCGGAAGGCTGCGCACCACCGGGCGGAAGATCGCACTTAGAGGCGAAAGGTCACACTCGGGCCGAGTCCTCCCCGGGGCGGTCATGCAGCCTGCCCAAGGGTGTCCCTGGGTCTTTAGCACCTCCAGGGCTGTGCAGCCATTACCGCTGTCTGGTTCCAGAACATTCCTTCAGAAGGAAGCCCCGCCGCGTTAGCATCCCCTGTTCCTCCCCAGCCACACCGCTCGAATCCACCGCGCGTCCCTGTGCACTCGCTGGTCCCGGGTGGCGCCAGTCACGGGGTTGCACGCGGTGGCCTGTGTCCCAGGGCACATCC